ATAAATTGAGTGATTAATTATAATTAATCACCATAACAAGCCCTAAGCCGTGAGTTTTAATAATTCATGCCTAATTAAGGCCCATTAGCCGTGAGATGTTAAGAGATTGGCCCCAATTTTGGTATTAGGCCGTGAGCATGGGAGAATTAGGCCCAATGGTACTCATTATTTTCTTAAGGCTTAAGGAGGCTTCTTCCCTTCACATATTAACTCCTACACGTGTGCTAAGGAGAATAAAAGGAGGTGGATTAGTCATCCTAAGTGTATGTTAAGGAGGAAACAAGTGTTAAGTCTAAAATAGTCTACGCCAAGCCAATGTCACACTATCATCCCCACGGCCGATTATATAAGGGAGCAATTGAATTAAAATTTCCCCAATTTTTCCTTATAAGACATTCAGCATATATTAGCTCTTTTCAGCACTATTAAGTTCAAGCATAAATCCTTCAATTCCTCATAAGATCGCACGGTTAGTGAAGAATATTACGCCGGACGCACACGCAAGATAAGGAGTCACGCCTTATTTTTGAATTTCAATCGAGCAAGCAGAGAGGTAACCTTTCCTTCAGCTTGTATTCATGTTGATAAAGTCATATTAGTGTTAAGTGTTCGATCGATTTTCGAGAATTTCAAATAAAACCGTGCATAAGTCCGTATATGCGTAAGTAAGGTCATGACCGAGTTATTTTCGATTTCTTCCGGCAACTCTCGAACCATTAACGTTTAAATGTTCAGTTTAACTAAGTTCATGTTCAATAAGTTCAGTTTGTCGAGTAAAATTGGAGTTTGGTCGATGAGTTGGCCCGAGCCGTCGCCAGCGCCTATCGCGCATGGCCTCGGGTGGCCTCGGGCCGTGTCATGTTGCTTTCAGTAATATTCATGTTCGGCCGTGTGTTTGTATCCTAAATTGCTTCATATTAATGTTCATGTTGAGTTGTTCTGTTGTTGCCGTGGAAAAAAAAATATTTTGGCCGGAAGACGGCATATAGCCGTCGGCGGCGCACGGCGCGCCCGCCGCAGCCCCTTTCATGTAGATCGTGCAAAAGTTGTGTTTCAGGTCATGATTCATAATAATATTTATGTTAAGTCATGATAAGTTCAGTTATGTTGAGTGTGGTCGAGGACTTGGCCGAAGGCCGTAGGCCTCGCATGTAGCGAGCACGCCACGGCCGGGTGTTAGTGCCGGTGAGTAAGTTCAGCCAATTTACTTGTAAATTCAGTATAATGATCATGTTAGGTCAGAAAGGTTAAAAGAAGTCAGTCCGGTCGGAGAATTTTGCCGGACAAGGGCCGACCGTGGTCGCGCTGCCGCACACAGCGGCAGCAGCGCATCAGCCAGCGCGTCAGCGTACCGTAACGCACGGTAGCGTGCGGTACG